TTTATTTTGCAGCATCTAGTAACAATTCTTCAACCAATAGCAGCGAGTTGCTGCGGCAGTATGCTGCGCATGAAATGGTACCTTTAGCCAATATAAACCAGCTACCGGCAAGGAAGTTCTGTGGCACTTCTGCCGGGGGCTTCTCATGCCCATTCTACACCTAGGGATGATCCTACTTGTGGCTCATCCGATACCCCTTCTATACCTAAAGCTAATCCTACTTGCAGCTTATCCGAGGGAGTAGTATAAAGTGTAAAAGGTTTACACTTTGGTTGGTTTCCAATCGTACCAAAGTACAACTACAGTGTACCCTTTTACACTTTATACTACTCCCTCGGATAAGCTGCAAGTAGGATTAGCTTTAGGTATAGAAGGGGTATCGGATGTGGTAAAAGTAGGATCATCCCTAGGTGTAGAATGGGCATAAAGCATCTAGCCCACATAGGCGCCATTAGTGCTGCTACCTGTCGTTATTTTAATGTATTATGTATCAAAATCTTATACGGTAAAGGGAAAGAAGAAACATACTATTACTTTATAAATTTATTTTCCTGAAAATAAAACTAATTTATTATAAAAATGTCTTTTACTTATTGCGGTATCTGTAGTTTTTCCAATAAAAAACAACCTTAACCTAATAATACTTTTTTTGGGTGTTCCCCTCTACGGGGGCGTCGTCAACCGTTAGGTTATTTGACGCGTCTTCTAGTTCCTCCAATGCTCTTTCCCTCGTCCTATATTACTTTTCCTGTTTTCTTGATGAATTGGTATATCAATTGTAGTTTTTCCCAGTCTTCTCTTTTTAGTATATCCTCTATCGGTTCTATGTCCGCGTTCCTGAGTTCTCTGTTATCCAGTTTCTGTGCCAGCCATTCCCTTTGTTCTTGTATTGTGCGCATGCCCATATCGCATGGTCCAGGTTCTCCGTTCCCCCTCCGCAGTCACACTGTTCCGTGTCGATGTATCCCTTTCTTGCGAGCGAACATTTCAGGTTATAGTGGTTGGCTCTCACAATCAGTCTGTTCATTAAAGTCCCGTAATATCTTTCCGTGTTAAGTCCCTTGTACCATCCACTCATTCTTTCCTTTTTGTGAAAGTATTTAAAATAGTACCTTCCTTTGTGCCTTGCCTCTCCTTCTATTACTTTACGTGTGCTTTTCCATTCTCTTGTCTTGCTTTCCACATGTATAGATCCGTAAAAGGGACCTCCAGTTCGCTCGGTTCCTCGTCCGTCGCCTCCTTAGCAAGTATATCCGCCATCTCGTTCCCCGCCAGTCCTCTGTGTGCCGGAATCCATACCAGGTACGTATCAATCATGTATTCTTTCCGCAGCTTGCTGATGTTCTTTCTTGCCATTAATATATATTTATTTTTATATACTGTGAGCATGTTATTTTCTATTGCCTTGATTGCTGCCTTGCTATCTGAAAGTATTACTACTTCCTTTTTTATTTTTAGCCCTTTTTTAGCTGCCTCAAGTACCTTTAACGTTGCCATGTGGATTGCGAATGCCTCTGCTGTGAACGATGAGCATTCTTTAGGGAGCCACGCCTTGTAGGCCTCATCCCATTCGTCGCATACGAAGCTGGATCCCGTTGCTATTCCCTCCTCTGTTCTTGAACCGTCCGAGTATATGACCAGTGGTCTTTCCCTCAAGTCTAGTTCGTCTATGCATCTTTTTATCAAGTTGTAGTCTCGTTCCTGGTATTTTATTTCATTAATGTCCAGTGATGCTTCTTGTTTATTATTTTTCTCTCCTCCGTATTCTTTACCTATTTCTGTATTTATCTGTATCCTATTCATTAACACCTCGTATTCCTCATTCCATATTTCATATTTCCTCTCTCTTCTTATCGTTTTTTCTCCAATTCTTCTTATCTCGCTCCATGCTTTAGTAAGGACGCTATGCGTAAATCCCGGGTTTTTCCTTCTTTTTTCCTGTTCCGACTCCATTAATCTGTCCAGACTCTCATGTTCTTCCTTCCTTCCATGTTTCAGCAACTTAACGCAGAAGTTCTCCGCTAGTCTTACGGCTCTATGCTTCAACATCGGTATCCGTGCCTCAGCGATCATCACGTTAGTAGGTGTACTGTTCCTGTATCCCATCGCAGTTCTGATACCTTGGTATTGACCTCTTTCAATTTTCTGGCTGTAGTCATGTGTCCTAGGATAGTATACGTACAGTCCATAATCCGCCACTGCTCTGACCATGCTTTTGTACAGCGAGAGAGCGGTATTTATTTCCGGGCCTCTGGTGAGCGAGCAAATATACTTGATGACATCATTTGCCTTTTCCATTCTGCCTCGTATTACCACTACATGTCGTTCCATGCTCGCCTTGTTGTCAAAGTTAACACCCAGGAACTTGGCTTCCGGTAAGTTTTCTATTGTAGTCCTGCCTATTATGATGTTCATGTTTGTATCCGTATATCCAGGTTTATTGAACTCGATTAATTTGGTTTTCTCGTGTTGCATGTCGAGTCCCAGTTCTCCTACATTATTATCTATTATACATATGGCCTCCTTCATTTTGTCTTTGTTTTCTTTTCGTACGGGTCCAGTCGTGTATACCGCTATATCGTCAGCAAACTGTAATATTCCCACTCCATCTGGTAAGTCCGTAGTGACTTCATTAGTATATATATCATATAGGACGGGGCTGAGTACCGCCCCTTGCGGTAATCCTTTCCTGATTGTTTTTGTTATTGTTTCCTCTTCTGATACTAAGAACTCTGTTTCTCTTTCAGCCAGCCATTCCGCGATGAATCTTGTGATTCTACTTGGGCATCCTCTTCTATCAAGCTTCTCCACGAGGATCTCTGGGATTACGTTATCGTATGCCGAGGCCACGTCCAGGAAGGCCGCCATAGTGTATCCTCCTCTGTACATAGTGCTCCTTACATCCGCCAATAGTTTCACCAAGTTGTTGTGACACGATCTTCCTCTCCTGAAACCGTTTTGCGTCGAATCCATGATGTCGTGATGTTCCGCCCACCATACGAGTCTCTCATTCACCATTCTTTCATACACCTTAGCCACACATGAAGACAGCGCTATAGGCCTCACTTTTTCTCCTCCCGGTTTGTCTATGAAGCACACCTGATATTCCTTCCAAGTCCTTGGTACTTCTGCTGTCCTCCATATATGGTTGTATATACTTAATAAAGCTTCCTTAGCGTTCTGTGGCAGTTCTTTTATCATTTTGTACTCTATACCATCTTTTCCTGGGGCCGAGTTTCTTTTGACCATGTTAAGTGCCCTTGTTAATTCCTGCCACTTCAGATCATCATCCAGTGAATCTTCCTCTTCTCTCTTCCTGTCTATCACCTCTATCTTCTTGTACACTGTCGGCGGTGCTAATTTTTCTATTTCTTTCCTGATCGTCTCCTTCCTGTCTTTCGTTTGCCACTTATTCCAATCTACTTTTGCAAATCTGTTCTTCAGCGTCCTCATCGTGTTCCATACGTATTTCATACTAGTCCATCTGCTTATAGAATTGCAAAACTCCTTGAAACCTTCCCTCTTCCTATTTTTTAATGTCTTCCTTGCCATTGCCCGACATCTCTTATATTCCACGTATGCCTCTTCACTTTGTTCCTTCTTGTATGTTTTCAATGCAGCCTTCCTCTGATCTATAGCTTTATTGCACTCATCGTTCCACCACCTTACCGGATTGTGTTTAGTCTTGCTGTTCACCTTTTTTTCTTGATCTTCTTTCCTTCCAGATGCTAGATTTATGGCTCGTCTCATTTTGTTTATCAATGATTCGTATCCTATATTTTCATTCTCTTCCTTCATAAATTCTTTCACCTTGGTAAGGGGGAGGGGGGTATCGCTTAGTCCCCTTTTGCGATAATTTTCAATGTTAATTTTATTTGCCGCGGGTCGAGGGGAGACGGAATCGGGTTCTCGCGGTGGCCGTGTCTACCCGCAAGACCGCGGATAGCGATAAATGGCTGCTACGTGCAGAGCAACCGGTCGTGCCAAATTTCAAAAGAGACAAACAGATAAAGGCGATCGACTTATCGGGTGGTGCACCTCGTTTCTGGTCCTCGTCTCCAATTCCATGCAGGAGGGCGGGAAGCCAAGGAGAGAGAGAGAGAGAGAG